CAGAGCAACACACATTGTGCAATTCTCTCCGCCCCCTTTTCTACTCCCACCACCCCTCGCTAGCTGGCACAATGCACCCCAGCACGAATTGGGCACCCATTCGCATCGAGTCGCAGCGATTTGTGCGAATCGAAATGGCGAACCATTCCGGCCACGTTCGACCTTCTTCGCGAATGGCTGGAGTGTACTAGGCGCCAAACCAAGTCGGCCTGCCCAAAGCACCGTTTGAACGGTGACCGCTCCATGCTGTGGCCGTTGTGATGCGATGGTGCACAGAACGCACTGTATTGTTATTGTAAGCCTATTCCTTATATATTGCCATAACAACCCACATGTAGGTTCAGGCTTTTTATGCAGATTAGATTCATATTCCAGAATATGAGCTGATTCACTATGTTTGTATCTATGTCTGTGGGCTGAGATGAACTCCTCACAAATTATAATGTACCTACACTGATTTTCCTGCGTTTCTTAGAATAATGTACATCGAACCTGAATCATCAACAAGGGTGAACAATAAATAAGAAATTTATATCTCGTATTGAGAGGATTGCTATTGTAGTGTTTTGAGCGACCACATTCATGCTCCCGAAACACCTAAGCAAGTCTGCGATTGGCTGGCCGTTTTCCAAATTCCACATTCTTGGCTGAAATGGCCAGTCACTATTCGCGAAAGCGATTCCTTTTCGAAATGATAAGGTACCCACCCGCTTGCCAGGGAAGTGACTTCGCAAATCGTTCGCCTGAGGTAACTGAGGTCGCAACAAGGATGTGCGAATCCCGCCTTGGAAACTGCGGTTGTGGCTGTGGTTGTGCGAGACAACCCCATTCTGTCCCCGCTCTTCCCAAGACTCCTCCCTGCTCTTCTCCTTCTCCACCTTGGGACCTGTACTCGAATCATGGCTGCTGTATCCGCTGCCACTGCTCGTGTCGCCATGGCTGCTGCTCCCGTGCAATCGGCAGTGCTTGCATCGTCTTATTCTTCTCGATCAAGCTTTGCGGCAGGCCCTATTTCCAGGCCGAGCCGTGCTGCTGGAGCGAAGCGCCTACCAGCAGGAATCAGGTGCCATGGCGAGGAGAGCGAGGCGGCTGTCGATGGTCGCGCTTTCCGCCGAGCGTTGAATAAGAGCGACAACTACAATCGCAGCGGGTTCGGGTACAAGAAGGAGATGCTGGAGCGGATGGAGCAGGAATACACGAGTGAGCCCAATGCCCGCTGCAAGCTGCCCCCTTGCACGCACTTCTCATTAGAATTGAGGATTTTACATTTTTTATCGAGATTGATATTATTCAGAAAAAGCCTTTCGCTTTTCGTGAAAATAGAAGATTTGGTGTGTTGGGTCCTCCGCGAATCCTGATGTCGTTGAGCCGTCCGAGCAGCGCGGGGAGCTCCGCCTGGTCGTGAGCGTGTGTCTCCTCACACGGCCGTCCCTCCCTGCGTGCAGGCGACGTGGTGAAGACTCTGCGCGAGAACAACAACGAGTACACGTGGGGCGACGTCACCGTCATGCTCGCCGAGTCGCTCGGCTTCTGCTGGGGCGTGGAGCGCGCCGTGCAGATGGCGTACGAGGCGCGCAAGCAGTTCCCCGACCAGAAGATCTGGGTGACCAATGAGATCATTCACAACCCCACCGTCAACGACGTGCGTGTCATCCGCCTTCCCCTCCGTCCCTTCCCCCCGTGAAGCTCACCGCCACACGCCACCTGTCATGCGTGCTCGCCCCTCCCCGTTCCCGCAATCGTGTTTCTGTTCCGTTCGCCGCGCCGCGACCGTCGATTGAACGTGTTATGCTAGCGCGTGTCATGCGGTGTACCCTTTGTGCGGGTGGCAGAAAATGGAGAGCATGGGGATGAATTTCATCGAGACGCGCGGGGACGGCAGCAAGGACTTCAGCGTGGTGGGCGACGACAACGTGGTGGTGCTGCCGGCGTTCGGCGCGTCGCTGCAGGAGGTCACCATGTTCCACGACCGCAACGTGCAGATGGTCGATACCACCTGCCCCTGGGTCTCCAAGGTAACCCTCCTTGCCTACCCCTTCCTCCCCCCCCTCTTCCCCCACTTCCCCTCTCCCCCCCCACCTGTGATGCTTACCTCTCCCACCTGCGGCCTCTTACCCCCTGGTAAGCTTACTGCCCCGAATTCCCTTCCTCCTCTCATGCTCCCTCCTCCTCCTCCCATGCTCCCTCCTCCTCCTCCTCCTCCTCCTCCTCCTCCTCCTCCTCCTCCTCCTCCTCCTCCTCCTCCTCCTCCTCCTCCTCCCATGCTCCCTCCTCCTCCCATGCCTCCCTCCTCCCAACCTCCCTCGTCCTCCCAACCTCCCTCGTCCTCCCAACCTCCCGCGTCCTCCCATGCCCCCTCTCGCATGTCCCGTGCGTTGCGTGTGCGGTGGGCAGGTGTGGGACACGGTGGACAAGCACAAGCGCGGGCAGTTCACGTCGGTGATTCACGGCAAGTATGCGCACGAGGAGACCGTCGCCACCGCCTCGTACGCCGGCACCTACATCGTCGTCAAGGACATGAAGGAGGTGCGCGGACATGGCAAGGATGTAAAGGGCAGGCCGGAGGTGGGAGCGGGCAGGGGATGAGGGCGGGCAGGGAGTGAGAGCGGGCAGGGAGTGAGAGCGGGCAGGAGGCGGGAGGAGTGGCAAGGAATCACGAGCGGCAGCTCTGTATGGTTGGGCGTAGGGCCAACATGTGCCGCAGTCCACACGTGTTTGTGCTCCCGTCCAGGCACCCCCCTGCTCTCACAGCCTACTGCCACCTCTCTGCTTTTCTCCCCCACTCGCGGATGCACTGCACGTCTGTTTCCCGCCTCCTGCACACCCTCACACACGCGCACGCCATCCTGCTGCTTCTGCCTGCCCGCTCACCCCTCACTCCCCTCTGCACCCCCCCCCTCCCCCCCCCCCTACCTCCCGCTCCTCCTTCCCTCACTGTGCCCACGTGTGCCTCCGCAGGCGCACTACGTGTGCGACTACATTCTGGGCGGCAAGCTCGATGGCTCCAGCGGCACTCGGGAAGAGTTCCTCCAGGCGAGTTGCTCCTGGCTGCTCCTGCCTGCCAACCCTGCTCCATGTGCCAATCCTTCATGTTCCTGCTGTCGCCTCTGCCTCCCCTCTTCATCATGCCATGCCATGCCGTCATCCCCTCTCTCCCCTCTCACGCCATCCCCAACACCCGCTTCCCTCTCCCCCCCCCCCCCCCCCCCCCCCTCGTCCCCCCACGTGCGTGTGCGTGCACGTGGGCTCACAGAAGTTCGCCAAGGCGGTGTCGAAGGGGTTTGACCCGGACACGGACCTGGAGCGGCTGGGCATCGCGAACCAGACCACGATGCTCAAGGGCGAGACCGAGATGATCGGTCAGCCGCCTCCACCCCTCACCCCCCATGCCTCACATGCCTCCCTCCCCACCCACGCCATCTCGTCTCTCTGCTCCCTCTCTCGCGCACCCCTCTCGTGCTGCTGGCATCACGCACCCCACGTGCAACCCAACCCCAGGCGACATCCTTACCTATCATTCCTTTCTCTGCTGCTTTGCTGCCCTCCCCCTCCACGTACTTCTCACGTGCATGGTTGTCACCCGTGGGTGTTGCTGTGGCTTGTGCGAGCAATGCAATGCAGGCAAGCTGTTGGAGCGCACGATGATGAGCAAGTTCGGTGCCACCAACGTCAACTCGCACTTCATGAGCTTCAACACCATCTGTGACGCCACTCAGGTGCGCTCCCACCCACCCACGGGGGGGTTGTTGACATTATCAGGGAGGAAGGAGGGGGGAGCAGGGTGGGGAGAGTCGTAAATGGCATGTATGTGACGCACATGGGAAAGAGTAAATGTTCTCTCGCACTTGCTGCTCTCAGCTTGACAGCTGCACCGAGATGCCACGTACTCACCAGCAAACCCAATCCACTGCCGCAACACACCTTTCCGCCCAGCTCAATACCTCCTCTTCCTTTCCACTCCCACCCCTTCTCCTGCCACCCTTGTTCCCCCTGCCCCCCACAACCCCTGTGAGCGCGAGCAGGAGAGTCAGGATGCGATGTATGCACTGGTGGAGAGGCCCATGGACCTGATGATCGTGGTGGGCGGGCTGAACAGCAGCAACACGTCGCACCTGCAGGAGATCGCGGAGCACAAGGGCATCCCCTCCTACTGGGTCGACGAGCCCACGCGCATTGGCCCTGGTAACCGCGTAACGCACAAGCTGTACTACGGCGAGCTCAAGGAGACGGAGGGCTTCCTGCCGCCCGGCCCCATCCGCATCGGCGTCACCTCGGGGGCCTCCACCCCCGACAAGGTGAGACACTTCCCACAAGGTGTGCCCTGTGCACAGTGCCCCATGCCCTGCACCACCTTTCCTGTGCCGTGCTTGGTGTGCCAAGTGCCCTGTGCCATGTTCCTACCCCGCCCGTGCCCTGTGCTGTGCACCTAACCTACTGTGCCCTGTGCCATGGCCCTGTGTGTGTGGTGTGCCCTACCCCTGTGCCCTACCCGTGTGCCATGCCTCCCCCTCCCCTCCCTCGGTGCATGGCATGCATGGCATGGCAGGTGGTGGAGGATGTGCTCAACGCCATCTTCGCCATCAAGAAGGACATGCCCGCGCTGCAACCAGTCGCTTAGGAACTGCCGCGCTGTTTGCGCTCCGCACACGAATAAATTAGAGCTTTTAATGAGGCCTGCTGTGTTTTGATTTGCTTGTGCTTGTTGGCACGTCGACGTTACAGATAGAGCAAAAGCAATGTGTGTCCTACTGTGCATAACTATGTGAATCGTAATTTCTGTATAAACCTGACAATCACAACAGGAAACCTCGAAGGCCACAGTAAATCAATACACACCTACCCGGCCCTTTCCGAATTTCAGTTACAACTGTGGATGTGTACTTTGTATAGTGTATTTCACCGCCCAAAAAAAAAAACATGAAACCACCCAAAGCAAGTGTGCAGAGCAAGGCACTGCGTGCACTCCCTGCCAGCCCATGCAACTTCTCGAGCAGCTGGTGCTACAAGGTGCCGTAGCTCCTGTCTCCAGCGTCGCCTAGTCCAGGTACAATGAACCTGATGTGGGGGGATGCATGCAAGGGGGTGTGAGTGGGAGTCAACAGCCCGAGAGGGAACGGAGGGGATGAAGAAATGAGGAACGGGAGGGACGTGCGTGCAGGTGGGCATTGAAGGCGACAGGGCGGAGGCAAGACAGGTGGGGTGGGGGTAGGGCGTGGTGTGGCGGGCATCATACCCTTGGTCGTTGACGTCAGCGTCAATCATCCCCGTGTACACTCGCAGCCTGCGTGTGTGGTGGCGGGGGTAGGGGTGGTGGGACACGGGCAACTAGTTATATGAGTGCAGCCAAGCTTGGGTTATAGACATAAGGCAGAGCAGACGGGTGCATTGAAACGACTAGAGGGGCGAGTGTGCGTGGTGAGATGGAGAGGGTTGCTTGTGTGCGTGGTGAGATGGAGAGGGTTGCTTGTGTGCGTGTTGAGATGGAGAGGGTTGCTTGTGTGCGGCTCACCCTTTGTACTTCTCACTCAGGAGCTTCAGTGCTGGCGATGCCACTATGGCCGATATCTGTCATGCACACGCGGAGCAGAGGGGGAGTGATAAGGGGAGGATTATGGGGTTGCATAAGACACAGCATAGTGGCATGGCATACTGGCATGGCATGGCATGTGGAATAGGTGTGTTTGACAGCTCGTGGCAGCACAGGGCAATACAGACATGGAAGGGCAACAAGGGTGTGAAGGGCAACAAGGGTGTGAAGGGCAACAAGGGTGTGACAAGGCAGGGCAGGGCAGGGCGGAGCAGGGCAGGGCGTGAGAGGTCAGGGCAGGGCAGGGTATGGTGGGGCGGGGGGGGGGGGGGGGGGGAAGGGCAGGGCGGAGCGGGGCAGGGCAGTACGATGCGGATGTTGTCGGGGTTGGCTCCTCGCCCCACCACCTCCTCCATCGTTGCCATCATCGTGCCACCTGTGCCCACACGCGGTGCAGTGCGGTGGGATGAGGTGGGGACAGAAGGGAGCATGAGAGAGTGGATAAGGCGTGGAGGGCATGGTGTGTATGCAGGCAGTGGCATGGACCCAGCAGAGGCTACAGTGGCATGTGCCCCCATCCCAGCATGGCCCACTCCCAGCATGGCCCACTCCCAGCATGGCATCAACGATGATGATCCTCGCCTCTGGGTTGAACGCCTTGACCCAGCAGGCTGCAGACCCTATAGAGGCATGTGTGCCCATGCTCACATCGCGTGCTCCACTCACCGGTGGCGAGCATGGCATCAACAATGATGATCCTCGCCTCTGGGTTGAACGACTTGGGCAGCCTGATGCATGGTGGGGGGAGGATGGACGGTGTGCCATGGGTGAGGAGGTGATGGATGCGAGCAGAAAGGGGATGGGGTGGGAGCGGAGAGAAAACGAGAGCAGAGAGAGAGGATGGAACACGAGAGAAGGTAAGGAGAGGGAAGAAAAGAGCAATGGTTAGCTCCAAGTCCATCCGTGATGCAAGCGTGGAGTGCTGGCACGGCATGCCATGGCATGGCAGGCAGGGAGAGGCATGGTGAGGCATGGTGGGTGCGGTGAATCATCAAACGCCCCCTCCCCATGAGGCAGGAGCGAGGATGGGGTGTGGCGAGTGGGGCATTGAAGGGGATGGATGGGGTGGGGCGGATCAAACGAGTGCCAGAGAAGCAGAGCGGTGGAGGCAGCAGGGAGCGGGGTGAGGAGGGGTGGAGGGGGGCGGAGGGCACTGACTTGTTGAGGTAGAGGGTTGGCTGGAGCGTGGTCTCGTCCCGCACGTAGCCTGGCCACATGCACATGCATGGGGTGAGATGCATGCACACGGGGGGTGAATGCGTGCGTGCACGGAGCGAGGGAGAGAGATGACTGTAGCACATGACACCTGCCATAAGGCACATGCTCGAAGGAGTGCTGCGCTACCAGGTGAGGTGAGTGCACAAGGTGGTGAGCATGATGGCGCACGTGCCATATGTGTTGCCTGTAATATGCTTTATTACGGAGGTGGTAGGAGGCAATACCGAGGTGGCAGGAGGCAATACCGAGGTGGCAGGAGGCAATACCGAGGTGGCAGGAGGCAATACCGAGGTGGCAGGAGGCAATACCGAGGTGGCAGGAGGCAATACCGAGGTGGTAGGTGATGGTGTGGGGAATGACTGGCCCCATCTGCTCTGCCATGACTGCCCCCGCCCTCAGCACCGGGATGATCTGCCCCCATGCATGCACACACGCAGACATGCACGCACGCGCGGTGGGGCGGAGCAGGACGAGGAGAGGAGAGGAGAGGAGAGGAGAGGAGAGGAGAGGAGAGGAGAGGAGAGGAGAGGAGAGGAGAGGGAAGAGGCAAAAAGAGGAGAGAGGGAAACAGGGAAGAGGAGCGCATAACCAAGTAGCTTTGACACGATGGTGGTGCACCATGGTCGGTGGTCATGCACGGAACAGCAGGGACCAGTGGCCTGCTCGTTCATGCTCATGCACATGGAAAGCATGCACCAAGACAGGCATGCAGCATGGGGCTGCCACGTGGCTCACTGCAATTGGCTTGTAGGGGTCGACGGCCTCCACCTCAGCAACACCGCAGGGCGTGGCCACCTCGCCCTGAATCATGGGCTGCCACCCGCGCAGTGGGGGGGAGTTGGGGAGGAGGTCGGGAGCAGGGGGAGAGTCGGCATAGGAGGGGGGGAGTGAGGATGCTGCAGTGCGGTAGGGTCGAGTCGTTGCGGCTGTGGGACTGCAACGGTGTGGAGGAGATGTAATGAGTCAACCCACCCGCCAACCACAGTTGACTCACCAGCCAATCACGGGTTGCTTCATAAGCGATGTTGCGACCAAGCTCAGCCAGTGCGGCACCTGTAGGTTGGCACGTGGGGAGGAGGCATGGCAGCATGGCAGCATGGGAGGCATGGGGGGCACGGCAGGGGTTGACACTGAACCACAGGCAACCGCATTTATGACTCACGCCAACAGACCGGGCCTTGGCCTTGACTATAATTGACCACCAACGACTGGCATTGACCAGCGTTGACCAGCATTGACCAGCATTGACCAGGGTGGAGTGGCGGGGACTGACGGAAGATGGGGGGCGGCGAGGAGGCGTTGCGCAGGATGGCGATCCAGTGCTTGATCAGCGGGTGCGGTGGCACCATCACCTGCCCACAGGGCACGCCGGCACACAGGGCGGGGGGGGGGAATGGGGAAAGCAAAGGTTTGGGGAGGAGGAATAGAAGGGGATGTTGCGGTGGGCAGCGAGGCAGTGGTTAGCGGAGCGCACAGGCGCGTGCATGTGAGGGGCGGCATCACACCACACACGCATTATGCGCATTCCCTTGCTCCTATGCTGCTCCCTCTCCTGTCCCCGCCCGCCCAGTCCCCCTCCGTGCTCAACCCCTTCCCCCCCCCCCCCACCCCTCCCTCCCCCCTCCTCCGCCTCACCAGCATCTGCCGCCCAAAAGCAGGCTTAGCAGCCGCGGAGCAGACAACAGCACCCCCTTTCGCCGCTCCACGAGGAGCTTTCCGCCGGCAGCACGGCGCGGATAGTCCGCCAAGCGCCGCGCTGTGAGTGAGCGCGCCTCTCAGCTCTCCGCCCGTCAACCAGCCTGTGCACGCCCGCGCGCCTCCCCGCGCGCCTCCCCGCGCGCCCGCGTGCTGCGGCGGGCAGGCGGCCTGCTGCGGGGAGTACATTGAAAGGCGAGGGGGGGGGCGAGGCGAAGGGTTTGTGGTGGGGTTGAGGAAGGGGGGGAGGAAAAGGGGAGAGGGGGGAACGTTGGGGAAGAGCGGGGGGAAGCAAGAGCGCGTGACGAGGACGATGAGCATGGAGAGGAGCGCGGGAGCGATATAACGAGGCGGAGGCGAGAAGCGCGAGAGGGGATTCGGAAGTCCCGGGGGGGGAAGGGGGGGTGGACACGCGTGGGCGAAACGGCGCAAGAAAGGAGGAATGCGGCGACCAGGGTGCGGCAGATGGGACGCCGGTGCGCGTTGCGGTGGAATACGGCGGGCGGGCGCGGAGGTGGTCAGGGAGGCCGACGGCACCTGAAGGCCACCCACTAGTGCGGCAGCCGGAGCGGGTGATGCGGCGAGCATGGTGGACGAGACGACGCGCGGGACGGTGTTTCCAAGGTGGACGCGAGGAGCGAGGAGGCGCGCGGCGCGAGGAAGATCAATCTGCGAGCGCTGAAGAGAGAATGGCTGCCGCGAGCAGCGCTTCGGATCAGTGGAAGGTGCCGGAGGAGAGCGCAGGTACGAGTGAGATGGAGATGAGGGAGGAAGAACGGCAGCAGGACAAACAAGGCAGGAGGTGAGCCAGATGTCGGCTCCGCACACTGTACGATCAAATTCACTGGTCGTACTTCAATGGTGCAGATGGGTTCAGACGTACAATAGTATGAGCAGGACACCAATTTATCACACTTGTTAAGTAACTAGTATATAATAATGCATAATACACGAGTACATAACAATAATGACCTACATTTGGTGTCAAATGCTGATGATTCGAAAAAAAAATTGTATGGAAACGAAATCCTGTTATATACAACGCAACAGCTTTATTCTCCATCAAGGAAGATGATATGTATGGCTCCCTCATTTTTATTTTTCCCGTACGTACCCATTCACGCCTAATTTTGAGTGTTCCCAGGGTCAAGCATTGCGATTCGATGGATAGAGTAGCGTGTAACGAGGGAGCAATCCTCTAGAGACCAGGTGCCCTCGCAGCGTTGTGAGGCGCCACGTTGTTCGCGGTCACGGCTAATCCAGAGTCCGTCGCGCTGGCATTCAGCGGCCTTTTCTGACCACATGCATACAATCAGCTTCGCTGCTGATATCATCACGCACATGGGGGTTTCAGTCCCCTTTCAAGGACAGACGGGAAAAATATTGCGTCGCATCAGAATCCGCTCGCCTACGTCGCAAAAAACGCGAGGAGATCGTCCGACCGCTTCTCAGCCAACATCTTGATTCGGTCGTAGAGAACCACTAGACGTGGATGGCATACCTTGATCCGACGGTCACAAACATCTCGAGTGTTGCTTGAATCGCCACACTTTCTTCCCCCTCCCACCCCCGACCCGAACCCAACACTCTCCTTCACTGCCACCCTCGCCTTGCAGAGCCTCCCAGTGCCAGGCACGCAGCCTACCCACCCGCGTATGGTTTCCTTACCACTTTCACCATCCCTGCTCTGTTTCACCATTCCCTGACTTTCGTGCATAACCTCCACGCGATGCGGAGACCTAGTCTCGACATATTGATTTGGCGCCGTCGTATCGTTATGCTCTAGCTCGCGCAGGTAGAATTGTCGCTTAGAGATTTACTCCCGCAAGCTCTGACTACTCTATGGCGCTGCAGGCGTCGTGCCAGCACCCGTCGTGCACCATACTGTGGACCTGCAACCGACCCGGCGTAGACTAGCCTCGTAGCCAGACATCGCCATCAAAGATATTGTGGCGGTCCAGGATTCGTTAGGGTAAAAGCAGAGCAGGCGCATTTTTAAGGGGTTAGATAAAAAAGGCCAGTGACTTCACAGCAGCAGAAGAGCACGTAGAGATTCCCGAGCAGCTAAGCCGTCTCGATTCAGCTGACGATTAGAGGTCGCGATACACTTATGTCATCGTCGCCGTGGAACGCGGGGGACGCCGATGCGGACCCTGCCATCAACGCTTGGTCTACGGTGCGTTGCGCTCTCACCCTCGCCGCCCCACTGCCCCCTCCCTACCCCTTCCCTTGGCAACGCATGCGCTATCGCCCGCCGCGTCGCACATAGGCATGCGGGTTACCTTGCCAGTTCCTCCTCGTGGACTGCCGGCGGTGACCGTGCAGGCCGCTGCTGGTAGCACGAGCCGCGGGTTCTGGCGCGGACGGAGTGCGGTGGGTGCAGCGGAAGCTTCGGTGACGGTAGAGATGCTGGGAGAGGATGACGCGGCGAAGAGGAAGAGCTGATGGTGTAGATGCGGCGGGATAGCTGTGTCTCCGTGGGGTCGCAGTTTCCTGTAACACTTATTGCAATAATGGCAGAATTGTCGCAGTAACAGCAGCAATAAGTGTAGCAATACCTGCAGCAGGAACTGTAGCTTTAGTCGCGCACCGGCGTCATTGGTCGGTAGGCCGGCAGGAGAAGCACGAGGGTAACGACGAGGAGCTGTTTGTCGTCTCAGCAGGCGCAAGGCATGCCGCACGCTGCTTGCTACCCCCTGGCCCCGCGCACGTGCCTTTCCCGTCGATTCCGTCTTTCTTGATCTTCCACTTCCCGTCGTCCTCGCCGTCCTCGCCCCCATGCGCTGTCCCTCTCAACGTCCTCGTCTCTTCCGCTCGCCCGCCCACCCCCGCTGTTCCGTTCCCCCTTCCCCCCCGCAGTTCGACGACATGGTGTGGCTCGAGTTCGGCGCCGACGATCACATTGTGCCCGCGGAGGCCGCCAACGCCCAGGGGGACTGGTCGGCGGAGATGGGGTGCGCGGAGGAGAGGGGCGCACGGCCGGCTGGGGACGGATTGGGGGCAAGCGGAGACAGGCGGTCGGTTCGCGAGATGGAAACCGACGGGGCGCTCGGGGAGTGGATGGCGGAGGCCGGGGGCGCCCCCGGACGGGAAGTGGCGCAGAGGGGAGAGGAGGGCGCGCGGAAGGCGGGTAAAGGAGAAGCGGCGGACGATTTTACGCTGCAGCAGTGCGCGGAAAGGGAGGGCGGAGCGGGGCGAAGCGGGACGGGCTACGGGTATGGTTACGGGATGGGTTACGGGCATGGGGAGTTCGGCGGTGGCATAGGGGGGGGCGGCGGGGACGAGGGCGCGGTGATGCGCATGATGGACGCGCACATGCGCGCCAACATGGGCATGGACGCGCGCGGGGGCGCTAGAGGCATGGGGATGGGGATGGGGATGCAGCAGAGCGAGGCGCGCGACGGAGGGGGGGATGCGCGCGTTGCGGGAGACGCGGACATGGGGGAAAAGGCGGAGGAGGGGGTGGGGGACAGGGAGAGGGCATGCAATGGAGGCGAGCCAGGCCTCAGTGGCGGAGGGCGGGGCGGTGAGGCGGAGGGGGCTGCGGCAGTGGAGGCGGGCGGCGCAGTGGGTTGGGGCAGCGGGGAGCCGGCGGCGGAACACAGCGGCCTCGGCCACCGTGCACTCCCGTCAGTGCCCCACCCCCCTCTTCTTCAGTCCCCACCCTTCCTCCCAAACAACTCTCCTTGCTTCTTCTCCTGTTGCCCCCCTCCCCTGTTCGCCCCCACGCCGTCTGCTCTTCGCTTCATCGTTCTGATTACTTCGTCTCTCCTTCTCCCTTTCTTTCCGCCGTTCCCGTCTCCCCCATCTCAGGGCATTGGCGCTCCCTTCCGGCTGCGGCAGGAGCATGGAGGGGATGGCGGAGAGGGGTGGGGAGGGCGCGAGAGAGGTGACGGCGGAGGAAGAGGAAGGTTCCAGAAACTTCAGCACGGGGGAGAAAATGGGGGGAAGGGGGGGCGGCGGAGATGCACAAGTAGGGGCGAGCGAGGGAGTGATGGGGGAGGAGCGAGGCGCGGAGCAGGGTGGGGCGGAGTGTGCGAGGGTCAGCGTGGGCGCACACGAAGGGCGCGCAGGCGACAGGCGCGAGGGGGGCGAGGATGAGGGGGAGGCAGAGGGGAAGGGGAAGGACGAAAGAGCAGGAGGAGCAGCAGAGGCAGTGGCAGCGATGGGTGGAGGCATACGGAGTGGTGTGAGCGATGCGGTGAGTGCGAGCGATGCGGTGAGTGGAAGTGATGCATTATCCTCATCAAGTCATTTGCACGGGGTGACTCGCTCGCATTACTGCACTCTCCACACACTGTCCACCATCAGTCCACACTCCACTCTCGCCCATGCACGTCCCACACTCACTCGCGGCACCCCCTTCCCTGAACCACTCTCGTGCTGCCTTAACACACTCATACCAACCCCCAACCCCATTGCCCCTCCCGCCTGCTGCCTGCTGTGCAGCACTTGGCACGGCGGCGAGTGTTGGCACGGCGGCGCAACGAGAGGGAGCAGCGCGCTCCTGCAGCAAGGAAGACCGCCCACTCCGCCGCTGCTGCTGCGCCCGCCGCCCGCCCTGCCACCACCCACCCGCACCTGCACACTCACGCTCACTCCCATTCGCACTCGCACTGTGCGCCCCTGGCGTCCTCCTCCCCCACGGTGGCCTCCGCGCCCCCCCCTCTGCTGCGCCACTCCCTCATCGCCTCCCCCTCCGCGCACCCCCCTTCCCCTTCCGTCTCCTCGCTCCACACCGCCTCTCTCCCACGCTCTGTCCCCACGCCCTCCTCACTCCCCGCGCTGCCCTTCTTCCCCGCGCCCACGCCCTCGCCCGCGTCCGCCCTGCCTGCTGCGTGCATGCGCCCCCCCCACGTGCCCGCTTCATTCCTCTCACCGCCACTGCCCGCCTCGCCTGCCCCCTTCGCCCTGCTCCGCCCCCATGCGCCCGCCACTGCCCTGCTGGCCCGCGGCCTGGGGGCGGGGCAGCACCCCCTCGCTATGGGGCAGCAACAGCAGCAGCAGCAGCAAGATCAGCGGGTGCTGGGGCGGCAGATGCTGATGTTCCATCAGCAGCAGGTGCAGCAGGGGGTGAGTGAGGAGCAGTTGGCGCGGCAGCACCAGAGCGCGGTGCAGAAGCAGTGGGTGGAGCAGCACGAGCAAGCAAGGAGGCACGAGGTGGAGACAGCACGGCTCGGCAGTGCCGGCACGAGCAGCGGCAATTACATGAGCGCCAGTGGCGGCATCATGGCAGGTAGCATGGCAGGTAGCATGGCAGGTAGCATGGCAGGTAGCATGGCAGGTAGCATGGCGGGCAGCATAGCAGGCAGCATGATGGGCGGTGCAACGCATTTGCTTCCTGCCAGCCTTGCAGCCCGCCAGCCTGCAGTGTTGGTCCGCCCCCCTCCCCCGCCCCCACCCAAGTGGCCTGCTTCTGTGCCTGCCTCGCTCCTTCCACCGCCTTCCCACCTGCCTCGCGCCTCCTCCCTTCCTTGTAGCACCCATGCTTCCTCCTCCACTGCCCCTCTCTCCACATGCCCCTCCCCTTCTGTTGCCTCCACTCGCCTCTCACCCCGCGCCCTGCAACCTCCGTCCCCTGCCGCCCCGCCTGCTGCTGCAACGCCAGCCCCAGCAGCATCTGCGCTCACTGCTGCCGCCGCTGCTGCTGCCGCCAGTGCAGGCCCAGCAGCAGCAGCAGGAGGGGCAGGCGGGGCGTGCGTGATGACGCCAGCGGAGAAGATAGAGAAGCTGCGGCGGAGGCAGCAGATGAAGGCAGCTCAGGTGCAGCTGGCGTTGGAGCAGAGGAAGCTGTCGCGCCTGCAGCACCTGCACGCCGCCCACCACCTGCACCACCTGCACGCCGCTCAGCACCTCTCCCACCTGCAGCACCTGCAGTTGCAGCAGCAGATGGGGGCGCAGCAGCAATTGCGGGCGCAGGCGGCATGCAGTGCGGCAGCGCATGCTGCTGCCATTGCACCCCCTGCCACGCACCACCACACACCCACCACCTCAGTACCATCGGCAGCAACATCAGCAGCAGCAACAGCAACAGCAGCAGCGGGCTCAAATGAAGCAGCGGCTGTAGCAGCGGCAGCAGCAGTGGGCGCTACAGATGTGCGTGGTGGTGCTGGCAGTGCCACCACTGCAGGCAGGCACCCCCCGGCGTGGGCCGCACCTACCCTGGCAGCGGCTCGCCCTCTGGCCGTGGTGCTCAGCTCCAGCAACCTCGAGAGATTCGCCACGTCAGCCTCCACGTCAGCTGCTGTAGGGGCAGGGCGAGACGGCAGTGGCGTGGTGGCATCGTGTGGGGCGGGCGGGGGGCAGGGCGGGCATGCAATGGGCAGGGGTGAGGGCGAAGGGGACGTCGCGAGGGGGAGCGCGGGTGGAGCGGAAGGAGGAGGGGGTGGGGAGTGTGGGGAGGCTTCAGGCAGAGCGGAGGGGGGCAGCAGCAAGAGAGAGGGGGAGGAAGGGGAGGAGGGGTCGGTGGAGTGTGTGGTGCTGGGGCAGCTGGGCAACACCATGAGCAAGGTGAGAGGCAAGAGCGTGTGGGAGAGCAAGCAATGCGCCGTTGTGGCATTGCGTCCTTGTAGCATCAAGCCCTGCTGCCTCTCTGCTCCCTCATCACTGCTCCTCCCCTCCCCCTCTCCCCCTTCCCCTCCCCCCTCCCGCCTGATGCAGTTGGACGTGCCAACAAGGCTGCTCATCCGCGATGCCTTGCTGCGTCTCGCCCACAGCGCCTCCCACCGCACCGCCACTCCCCCTTCCCCGCCTGCCCCCCCGCCGCCTCCTCACTCGCCCTCCACCAACTCCGCCCTCTCCTCCCACACCCACTCCCTCTCCCTCACATCCCCCTCCCTCCGCCGCCACTTGTCCGAGCCTACACCTGTTGCCAACCGCCGAGCCTCGTGCACAGCTTCGGAGGCGTCGGTGGCACGGAACAGCAGTGGTGGGCAGCACTCCGCGGTGGACGCCCATGCCGCTCCGTGAGTTACCCATGCCGCTCCGTGAGTTGCCCATGCCGCTCCGTGAGTTACCCATGCCGCTCCGTGAGTTGCCCATGCCGCTCCGTGAGTTGCCCATGCCGCTCCGTGAGTTACCCATGCCGCTCCGTGAGTTGCCCATGCCGCTCCGTGAGTTACCCATGCCGCTCCGTGAGTTGCCCATGCCGCTCCGTGAGTTGCCCATGCCGCTCCGTGAGTTGCCCATGCCGCTCCGTGAGTTGCCCATGCCGCTCCGTGAGTTGCCCATGCCGCTCCGTGAGTTGCCCATGCCGCTCCGTGAGTTGCCCATGCCGCTCCGTGAGTTGCCCATGCCGCTCCGTGAGTTGCCCATGCCGCTCCGTGAGTTGCCCATGCCGCTCCGTGAGTTGCCCATGCCGCTCCGTGAGTTGCCCATGCCGCTCCGTGAGTTGCCCATGCCGCTCCGTGAGTTGCCCATGCCGCTCCGTGAGTTGCCCATGCCGCTCCGTGAGTTGCCCATGCCGCTCCGTGAGTTGCCCATGCCGCTCCGTGAGTTGCCCATGCCGCTCCGTGAGTTGCCCATGCCGCTCCGTGAGTTACCCTGCCGCGTCTCCATCTCTCTCGCTCTCTCGTCTCACTCTCCTCTGCTCTAGCCTCCCGTTCACTTCCTCTTGCAACTTTCTTCCCTCGCCTTATTCCGTTCCCTTTCCCCCCCTGTCCCTCCCGTCCCCCCTCCCCTCTGTGCCCTGGCAGAGAGAGCACAGGGGAGGCGGGCACGAACGCGGTGGACAGGGCCATCGCCAATCTGCTCTTCCACCGCCCCTCGCCGCCCGCCCCTGCCCCGCCTGCCGCTGCCCCTGCTGCCGCTGCCTCTGCTGCCACTGGGGTGCCCGCCATGCCCCGCGCTGCTTCTGCTCCAGGGGGCGTGCAGGGAGGTGCACGAGAGGCGGTGCTGGGAGGGCGGGGGGATGGGGAAGGGCTGTGTGCCGCACCTGCTGCCACTGCCGCCCCGCCCTGTGCTGCCATGTCCACCCCACACTCTCACAGCGCCTTCTTACCCCGCCCCTCCCCCATGCACATCTCGTCGCCTCTCTCCCCTCCCCCCCCCTCGCCTGCCCCCCAAAGGCACTCTCTCTGCTCGCCCATCGCCACTACCTCCTCCTCTGCTCCCGCCCTCTCCCTCTCCCACTCCTGCGCCTCCCCCATCCCCACCACCCCCTCCACGCCCACCACCACCACTACTACCACCACTAGGGATACCACCACCACCCTTCGTCCCCTCCCTGCTGGCTCCTCATCCCTCTCCTCCCACCAGCAGCAGCAGCACCACCACCAACAACAACAACAGCAGCAGCTTGCCACGCTGATGTGGCAGCCCCGTGGTTTGCCACCTGGCACACGCTGGTTACCAAGTCTAGCCAGGGCTGCTCCGGACGTCCTTATGGCAGGCTCGGAGGCAGGTCTGGCCGAGGCTGGGGGCAAGCTGGGCATGGGTGAGGGCGGAGGCATGCAGGGTGGAGGAGCAGGGCGGCAGGTTGCAGGGGAGGGGATGGGGGTGGCAGGAGATTTTTCAGGTGGCGCCTGGCGATGTATCTCAGGTGTTGCTTCAGGTGTATCTGACTCGTCGCTGCCATCCAGGCTTCCGGCGCTGCCTCCCACTCTCTCAGCGTCATCAGGGCGGCCAGGTGGCGTGCTGCCATTGGTCCATGGCGCGGGGGACGGCAGCAGTGGCGGCAGCAGCAGGGAAGCGCAGCAGGCATTCAGTGAGATGCTGTGTCGGCAGCAGCAGCCGCAGCAGCAGCAGCAGCAGCCGCCCTTCCAGGGCGCACACACGGGAGCAGGGCAGCACTCTGCCATGCACGCGGTGCTGGGAGGAGGTGCCGCCATGGGCATGGGCATGGGTACGGGCATGGGAACGAGTATGGGCATGGATATGGGTATGGGCATGGGTGTGAGGATGGGCGGGAGAGCAGACGGTAGCATGGAGATGGGGGTGGAGGGCAGTGTGGGCCTGATGGGGTCAGGCATGGCGGGCATTGCAGGGGAGGCATGGGGAAGAATGGGGGGAGAGGCGTGGGGGGTTAAGGGAGGGGGAACATGGGGGGCTGCCGCGGGAGACATTAGAGACAGCGGTTTGGGGAGAGGGGCAGAGCAATGGGAGGGCTTAGGTGGAGTGGGGCAGGGGCGTGGGGGTACATGGGGGGAGGGTAGCGGGGGAGGAGGCATGGAAGCAGATGTGGGCGGGGAGTTGGGAGCGGTGGTGAGAGGTGGAGTATCTGTGCCCGTTGCATCACCCTGGATGGCCACTGCTGGCCGGGCTGCACTGCAGCAGTAGCAGCAGCAGCAGCAGCAGCAGCAGCAGCAGCAGCAGCAGCAACAACAACAACAACCACCACCACCACAATACAGCGTGGGATTGGTGGGGCGGGGGGAAGAAGGCAAAAGTGTGCGAGGTGAATAGTGGATGGTACATTTGCCGTACGGTCGTGCCGTGTCTGGCTACATGGGCCTGCTCAGCTCACTCCTTACCCCTTGCTCATATCATGTGCTTTGATTTGCGTACAGCCCAACAGCATAGCCTAATGTGCTCAGCTGCTGCTGAGGTAATACATATGGGTGCTTTGCACCCTGCTTTACTAGGTGCACAGTTGTGTCCGTGTGCGTGAGCCAATGTCTGGTTTTGAATGCTCTGCTTTGCGTTGAAAATAAATGGTTATGGTGGTGGTTCCACAAGGTTGACATTGGACATGCGGGGCATGAAGTCAATAACAAACTCATTGGGGCCGAGTGAGCTGAGTGGGGCCGAGTGAGCTGAGTGGGGCCGAGTGAGCTGAGTGGGGCCGAGTGAGCTGAGTGGGGCCGAGTGAGCTGAGTGGGGCCTGAGTAAACTCAGTGTGGTGTGAGTACAATGATCCTGAATAAAATATGAGCTGCTCTCTCAGGTCTGGTGTGATAAAACCAGGTCATGCTGTTGTATGGATGAATAGAGCGGTCCTTGCACCCCAAGCCACCAGTGGTATGTACAGTACACAGCACACCTAACAGCAGTCCCCCCAGCACCGCATGTGAACATGGCACTGGCGAGTCAGCCTGGCATGGCAGCTAGAGCGAGGTGAAGGGCAGCGAGGAAGCATCTGGGAAGGTGTGGTCGAGGAGGGCGTAGGTGCCGGTGGCGAGCAGCAGGGCGCCACTGGCGGGGTTGATCCACAGCGCGTGCTGCCTCAGCGCCAGCAGGCGCTTGAGCGCGCCTGTGAAGGCCGCTGCTAGCATGAGCGGCGACACGAAGCCCAGCGTGTACACCAGCAGCAGTGCTCCCCCCAGCACCGCGTCCTGCCATGCCATTGGGGGGGTAGAGCGGTGCACAGGCAGGGATAGTGCGGGGCACAGGCAGGGATAGTGCGGGGCACAGGCAGGGATAGTGCGGGGAATGGAAACAGGGAGAGAGAGAGACAGGGAGACGCAATGGCAAGCAGTTTAAGGGTGTGGTGTGCATAAGAGTGTGTGAGGAGGTGGGTGCATGACAAGGATAACACACAGCGAGCAACGACGCAAAGTGGTGAGCTGAGCATCACCATCTGCACCGCCCTGCCTGCACTCACCCCTCCAACGTTGCACTCACCCCTCCAACGTTGCACTCACCCCGTTGGACGCCACGTAGGCCAGCAGCGATGCCAGCACGGGCGTGGCGCACGGCGACGCCACAAACGCGAAGGCGGCGCCCGCGAGGAGCATCTGCACCGCACTGGGGAGGCGCGCCGCCGCCTGCTTGGCGTCGAAGCCGCCGAAGGGGGAGGGCAGGCGGAGAGGCAGCAGGCCGAGCAGGTTGAGTCCCATGGCCACCGCCACGCCCCCTGCCACCACCGGCAGCACCCCCGCCACCACCCCCCCTGCGCCGCCCCCCGCCGCCTGCCCGTACGCGCGCCCGGCGAGCGCCGCCGCGACGCCCATGGCGGCGCGCGTGGCGGCGAGGCCGAGCGCGAAGCAGGCGGCGTCGGCGGCGATGAGGGCGCGCGGCTTGGCGGACTGGAAGCCGGCGATGTAGCCGACGGTGAGCGGCAGCACGGACAGCGTGCACGGCGTCAGCGACGTCGCCACGCCCGCCGCGAACAGCACGGCGACGCTCGCGGGCGACAGCGACGCGAGCTCCAGCGACACGAGGCGGTCCGACAGGTGCGCCGCGGCGAAGAGCGCGTCGTCGACGGAGTCCCACGCGGCGGAGAGGTTCAGCGCCGCCAGGGGGAGCGTGGGGAGAGGCAGCGCGACGACGGCGGATGCGGCGAGCGGGGCAGGCAAAGGGGCAAGCAGGGATGTGGCGACGGCGGGAGGCGTCAAGGCGGAGAAGGTGAGGGCGATGGCGGAAGGGGGGAGCGCGAGGGAGAGGAGGGCGGAGAAGAATGCGGGAGGAAGGAGAGGCGCGGCCGAGGAGAGAGGCTGCGCGCCCTCGCTGCCACCATCGTCATGCGCGCCTGCTGCGCGGGCGGCTGGAAGGGCAACGGCAACGCGCGCGCTAATTTCTGGCTCACGCCCTTGCGCGCTCTCCCCACATAGCCGTGTGGCTTCTTCGGCCGGCGCTGCAGCGGGGAGCGCGCGGGCGGCTGCGAGGCAAAGGCGCGGGCGGCGCGAGAGCAGCCGGCTGGAGGAGGTGCCGGCGGGACCAGAGGAGAGCGCGACGCGCGACACGGGTGGCGAGCGGCAGCGGTGACGGTGGGCCAGCCCAGTCTCTGCGGTAAGAGGGGCGCCGCGAGGCGCGGCGACTGCCATGCGCGACGTGCGGGTGGAATGCGGCGTGGCGTGGTGTGGGGATGGACGCGTGGCACGTGAGGGTGGCAGTGTGTTGAGTGTGGGACTGCCCACGCAATGACGCTGAGAAGTCTCGACATTTTGCGAAACTTGGTTGGAGTTACCTTGAGATGTACATCTGAAGAAGAGTTAGCGTGTATACGATGTGGATAAATAACACAAGAGGATGACTGCTTATAGAGTACACGTGCTTGCTGCTGTTTTCCGCTTCCACACACACACAAGCCCAACACTCCAAGCCGAGTTGAGAATTGAAAATCTCAACGTCTGTTGTCCCGCTGCATCAGATCCGTGCCTTTCGATCACTGCCAAGTGATTTATCGCAATCTAGATTCTTCCGATCTAACTCGCTTCCACCGAGACCCTTGCGCTCTTCGAGTGCGGCGCGCACGCGGGGAAGCACGACGCGCACGCGGGGAAGCATGGCGCGCGAGGTGCAGATGGCGGACGGCGGCGACGACCCCAAGGCGACGCCCGAGGGAGGGGCGGGCGACGGGCGCGATGCGAAAGGCGAAGGGCAGACCAGCGCGCCGCAGACGCCGCAGCAAGTTCTGGCAGGTGGGCGGCGCGCGGGGTGCAGCAGGACGGGTGGGATTCGGGTGGAGGGAGCCTGCGCGGCGTGCGTGGGAGTGGATGATTGGCTTCGTTCGTTCGGCAGTTGTGCGTGTGGCTGCTGCACGCCGCGGTCAGCATCCGTCCATGTCGGATCGCACTCGCCCGTCTTGAATTTCACCCGTCCGCGTCAATTCTGATCCGTACATCTCCTGCTTTCCTCGCTGCTTCTTCTCACCCGATTTTCTCGAATGCTTTCGCCTCTCCCCTCTCCTCTCCCGCGCCTTCCCGCGGTCGTGGTGGGCGCAGAGTTGCAGGCGCAGAGGCCGCTGGTGGAGCGCGCGGTGGTCACGCGCGAGGTGCGCGTGATGGCGCGCGCAGTGCGCGCCATGCTGGCGTTCCGCAGGCGGCTGACGGGCGGCGTCGTGCGCGCGTTCGTGCGCGCCAACGTGCACAGCGAGGCGGACGCGCACTCCACGCTGCTGGCGCTGCTGGCGCAGGTGAGAGCGGCGCGGGGAGTGTTGCGGGGACTGGTGTGAGGCGCCCAGGGGTGAGGCGGACAGGTGAGGCGGGGAGATTGGGACAGGTGAGTGGGGAATTGCATCTGTGTGAGTTTTCTTTGCATGTCCTTACGTGGTGGTTGCAGCGAAGCAAATGATTTGTGCTCCTCCCCCCTGCGTGTTTGCTCACAGAAGGTCCTCGACACTTGTGCATTCTTCTGAACGTTTCAATGCTTGGTGGGTCGTGCATGGGGCATGATGGCATGGGGCATGGGGCATGGGGCATGGGGCGAGGGGCGTAGGGCGTGGGGCGTGGGGCATGGGGCATGGGGCATGGCACGCGGGGCGTTGGGCATGGGGCATGGCATGTGAGGCGTGGGGCATGGGGCATGGCCTGTGGGTGGGGCATGGGACATTGCATGGGGCATGGGGCATGGAACATGGCATGGGGCATGAGGCATGGCATGGGGCATGGGGCATGGGGCGTGGGGCATGGCATGGGGGGGCGCAGGTGGACACGGACGAGGACATGGAAGGCGGGGTGGACGCCCCCTCGCCCGCACCACCTGCATCCGCGGAAGGCGCGTCCACGTCGGTTGCAGCAGCAGGGGCGGGGGCGGGGGTGGTGCGGGCGACATGGCTGGCGGAGGTGGAGATGTTCTCCTTCCTCACGGCGCTCGTGCTGCTCATCGACCGCAAGGCCTTCTCTCTCGTGCGCCCCTCGCCCCGCCCTTGCTGCCCTCTTGCTGCGTGCCTTCTCTCTTGACGCCTCTATGTACTCTCATGCTGCTCTGCTGTGCTGTGCTGTGCTGTGCTGTGCTGCCTCAATCATGCGCCACCAGAGGTGCCCATGCTCTTGTCCCATGCCATACCACGCGCACACGCAACTGCCTTCCCACCACCACCCCACCCCCGTGGTGCAGGCGTGTGAGTGTGCGTGGGCGGCGGTGCGGCGTCTGCAGCAGCTGAACAGGCGCACGTTGGACGTGTTGGGGGCGCGCATCTACTTCTACTTCTCCCTCGCTCACGAGCGCACCACCGCCCTCGCCTCCATCCGCAGGTACCCCCCTTCCCCCCCTTTCCTTCCTCCCCCACCACCACACATGCTGCCTCTTCCAGTCGTTGCAGTGCAATTGTGCCGCTTCCTTCTCACCTCCTCCCCTTTCCTCCAGCCTTCACACCTTCGCTTCCTCCCTTGCAGCCCCTGCCCTTCTGCCACCCCCTCTCTCGCATCTCTCTGACAGCAACCCCTTCCGTGCCCCTCCGCCCCTCCGCCCCTCCCCCCCTCTCCCCGGGGGCAGCACGCTGCTGGCGGCGTTTCAGACGGCCACGCTGCGCCACGACGAGATCGGGCAGGTCAGCGCCGCGTGCATGCTGCATGGGAGGGGGGCATGGGGGGGGGGGAAGGGGCGTGGGGGGTGCAGGGGCCATGGCACGAGTGTTCTGGGGACAGGTTGAGTCAGGGGCAGGGGAAAGTGGTGAGGTGACAGGTCGGGGTTTTGAAGGGGCACGGGTGACGGAGGTGGTTGTTTCAAACTAAAACGTTGCGTGGTGGCTGGGCATGTGTGTGGTGCGCACATGGCATGGCATGGCATGGCATGGCATGGTGGCAGGAGATGCTGTTGAACCTGCTGCTGCGCAACTACCTGGCGTACAACCTGTACGACCAGGCTGACAAGCTGCGCTCCAAGGCCCTCCGCCCCGACTCCCACTCCAACCAGCAGGTGTCACTCCCGCTGTCTCTTTTGCTTTGTACTCGCTCGTTGCTGCTCTCCACTGCCTCACCTCTTCTCCCTGCTCCCTCCTGCTCTCCCCCTTGCTCACTTCCCTGCTCCTCGCCGTACCCGTCTCACCACACACCATCTTCCCTCACCACCCACCCCCTGCGAGCGGAGCGCAGCTGTGCCGGCAGCTGTACTACGCGGGGCGCATAGCGGCGGTGCAGCTGGAGTACAGCGCGGCCAAGGACTGTCTGCAGCAGGCGGCGCGCAAGGCACCGGCGGCGGCGCTGGGGTTCCGCACGGAGTGCACGCGCTGGCACGTGCTCGTGCGCCTGCTGCTGGGGGAGATCCCCGAGCGCCACCTCTTTGTGGCGCCCGGCATGCGCTCCGCACTGCTGCCCTTCTTCCAACTCACCAATGTGAGGCCCTTCTTCCAACTCATCAATGTGAGGCGCCGCACTCGCGTATGCAGCAATAGCAGCTGACTTTGCCGCTCGTTTAGCCATTCCCCTTGCATGCTTGAACTCCTCCCTGCATGCCCAGACACCCACTTCATGTCTAAACAACCTTATCACTAGGCCTCGTCCCCCTCCGCCTGCCATCCCTCCTCCCCGCCCCCCCCTGTCCCCGTGTGCATCCCTTCCCTGGCAGGCGGTGCGGGTGGGCGACCTGCAGCTGTTCCACGCCGCGGCCACGCAGCACGCGGCGGTGTTTGCGGCGGGGCACATGCAGAAGCTGATCGTGCGGCTGCGCCACAACGTGATCCGCACGGCGCTGCGCCGCATCTCCCTGGCGTACTCGCGCATCTCCCTCGCTGACATCGCCCTCAAGCTCCACCTCCCCCCGCCCACCGCCGTTGCTGACGCCGAGTGCATCGTGGCCAAGGTAGGCGGGGCGTGCTGCAGTGGCTTGGTGGGACCATCACAGCTTGGTGTGTGTGCGATATGCAGTTGAAAGCAGTGAAGCATGTTGATGCAATGTGTTATCAGTGAAGCATGCTATGATGCAATGTGTTATCAGTGAAGCGTGTTGATGTTATGTGTTATCAGTGTGGCATGGGATTGGGAAATAATGATGCAGCTCTCTAACTCCGTCCCTCATGCTTCATTCACATCCTGTTCCGTTGCGTATGTGGGGCGGGGTGGCATGTTGGTGGTGGGTGAGTGGTGTGGAGTGAGTGGCAGGCGATTCGGGACGGGGGCATAGAGGCGGTGATAGAGCGGCGGCAGGGGTGCATGGTGAGCAAGGAGGGCGGCGACGTGTACACCACGCTCGACCCGCAGGCCGCCTTCCACACACGCATCGCCTACTGCCTCAACCTGCACAACGAAGCAGTCAAGGTCAGTCAACCGCAGTCATTGTCAGTCATTTGTCAATGACAGTCCATGTCAGTGAATTGCTGTCAAATCTCAGTTAGCAGAAGCAGTCAGATTGAATAACAGAAGCCAGAGTCAAGTTCAGGTTTAGTGAACAACCGCCAGAATAAGCCAGCCGCAGCCAGAGTCGCACAACAGAAATGGAGGTCAGTGAGGAGCAGTGAAGGCAAAGATGACGAAGCAGTGAAAGCAGAGATGAGGTAGTAGTGAAGGCAGAGATGACGTAGCAGTGAAGGCAGAGATGACGTAGCAGTGAAGGCAGAGATGACGAAGCAGTGAAGGCAGAGATGAGGTAGTAGTGAAGGCAGAGATGAGGTAGTAGTGAAGGCAGAGATGAGGTAGTAGTGAAGGCAGAGATGAGGTAGCAGTGAACGAGCAATACACGCGCAGGTGCATGATATGAATTGTGACTGCCCACGCTGCCATTCACACTCCCCTTGGCCGTCCTTCAGGCCATGCAATTTCCTCCCAGCACTCGTAAGGGCGAGGCGGATGCAGAGGAGAAGAGGAGAGAGAGGCAGCTGGCGGAGCAAGAGTTGGCGCAGCACATTGCCGAGGAGGGAGACGACGACTTCTGACACCACATATGCTGCATTTACATTCTCAACACCTTTCTTGGTAGAACGTCGTTCAGTGTCAGTTAGCTGTACCTTGTAGAGTTAATGCACACTTGCAAGTTTTTTTTCATCCACCAGTCTCGAATCGTCTCTCAAGTGTTGGTCAGCATTCGTCAATCACGTATGAAATTTCTCGTGGCCCAAATTGCAGACCGCGCGGGCAGGGCTGACGTTTCATTTTAAGCCTCCCTGATT